AGTCGCCAGTTCTCAGCTTCCAGCTCCACAGATTGCTCCGCGTACTAAAGTTGTACTACAAAGTCGCCAGTTCTCAGCTTCCAGCTCCCCAGCTACTCCGCGTACTACAGTTGCACTACAAAGTCGCCAGTTCTCATCTTCCAGCTCCCCAGCTAGTCCACGTACTAAAGTTGGACTACAAAGTCACCAGTTCTCATCTTCCAACTCGCCAGATACTCCGCGTACTAAAGTTGTACTACAAAGTCGCCAGTTCTCATCTTCCAGCTCCCCAGCTACTCCGCGTACTAACGTTGTACTACCAAGTCGCCAGTTCTCATCTTCCAGCTCCCCGGCGACTCCGCGTACTAAAGTTGTACTACAAAGTCGCCAGTTCTCAGCTGCCAGCTCCACAGATTGCTCCGCGTACTAAAGTTGTACTAGAAAGGCACAGACTCCGCAGAGGGTTGCGCGCGCGCAGAGGGTTGCGCGCGCACCGGACAAATCGCACTCTCGCCTGCATTTCGCGCGCTCGACACGCGCGATCTCCGCAGAGGGTTGCACTTTCGGTTGACGCTGTTCGTCCCACCCTCCGCCTTTAAGAGAGAATTTATAAAGTGGGGAAATGTTTTTTCATTCGGACATCTCCCGTGCTAGTTGTTTTCCACACTCACACTTGCCTACTCATTGCACGCTTGCATACTCATTGCATGCTTGCGTGCTCATCATTGCACTTGCATCATTACACTTGCATACTTACACTTGCATACTTACACATGCATACTTACGCATGCATTACACTTGCATACTTTGACACTTTGCACTTGGCTGCTTTCGCTCTTCCACTTACACTGGGGTACGTATAGCGTTCATGTTGTCGTGCAAGTGTGGTGGAAGTGTCAGTGTGTAAGTGTAAGCGTCGAAGTGTCAGTGTTCAAGGGATTTTCCGGAAGAACCCTTCGCAATGCTTTCGGGAATATACGATATTAATTATTTTGTTGTATATATATATATAGAGTATACGTGTGCGTGCATACCTTGGATTCAGAGGTTACTCGTTGATATTTTGTAGTGCTTCAGCTTTTCAGGGGGACACAGTGCAGTGGAATATCCAGCTTGGCCAGCGGAGTGTACCTGCGTTTGAGACCTACGTGATGTCTGCAATCAGCTGTTTAGGTGAAGGTACATAGGTGGTCGGCAGACTCTGCACGTTCCCATTTGCGAATTGAACTTGGGGGCTTGAGCTTGCAGGGTTTTAGATTTCCCTTCACTTACAGGATTTGGGGTTTCCCTGTGCTTGGAGGCTAATCCGACCCTCTCACATGTTCTATTCAGGCTCCTTAGTTCATTCAGGCCTCGTATGCGCGCGTTTGCAGAGTGCGCCTGGCCTGGGGCCAGCCAGAGTGAGCCCGAGGAGTGCTCTCCGTGACCTGTCGAACAGGGGCTGGTTTCCTTTCAGTGCCGGAGACCGATGTTATAGTCCGACCTTTTTACATGTTTCATTCAAGCCCCGTCGCGCGTTTCAATGGGTGGCGCATTCACATGGTACGGTGGCTTTTCCTGAGTGTGTTATAACCTGTGGAGTCACAAGGTTCATTTTGGATTGTTTCCTTTTTCAGCAGGGGGACGCAGCAGATGCAAGGGACTGCGCCTAACAAAGCTACCTTGCATCTGGGAAGCCAGGTCTGGTCAACCTGGTGTACCTGCTTTTGAAACTGTTGACAAAGCTCTCACCCTCATCTTCCATAAAGGGCCAGTGCACTCTGCAGACACGAGCGGCCGCCGTCATTTCGACCTGTTCGTCGTATCGTGGAGTTGGAACTTTGGCCTTTAACTACAGGTGCTCAGGCCTCCTTACCTGGTTGTTCAGGATTCTGGTTTCTTAGGTTGCCGTGTGGCGAGCGGCGTTCACATCAGTACGCATTTCTATAAGTGTGTCTCTCCTCGTGAGAGCCCGGGGTGCCCCGAGGAGTGGCCCCTGTGGACCCGTCGAACGGGGGTTTGTCTTCGTCCCTGCGCCCGGGACCAGAGTATATCCGCAGCGGACAAAGTAGGCTTAGGCCAAAGTTATTTGCCAAGACTTGACGAAGTATTCTAAGCTGGCTTATGCCTTTACGTGACCACTGCGGTCAAAGCTCCCAGCCATTTTGGCACGGCGTACGTCCGCAGCGGCCGAAGCTTGTTCAAGACTCGTTGGAGTCTGTCGGGACTTTCGGTGCACATACAGCGTGTACATTCAAACGAGGCAGGTTTTCCTAGGTCGTTGTAATGAGGTTTGGTTTCATCGGTTCCCGTCCCCTCCACTTGGTTCCCTTTTCATCTTTTTCCCCTTTACAGACTTCTTTTCTCTTCTTTTCTTTCATGTCTTCCCTTGCTTCATGTACTGTCATCTCATCTCTTTCCTTCTTTTGCGTGCACACTGCCCGGCCCTTAGTTTGTACATGCGCAACCGCACAACCTACTTTCAAATCAGGTTTCAGGTCGCCCAGGTCTTTACAATGAGGTGGGTTGTCATTGGTTGTTCCTGTGCACTTGGTTCCTTTTCATTGCAACCACCTACACCTTTGTCCCGTCTTGTCTCCTATTCATGTCTGCATCCTTTTGTCTTTGCTGCGCGCACACTTTCACAACCGTCCTAGCCTCAGTTCCTTTTGCCTCCCTTCGGGGGGCCAATAAAGGGAAGGAGGCTTGTAGCGTTGCTCAAAATAAGTGGGCCAGGAGTGGAGAGTACTGGCTTAGTCCTTGGACAAGGAGTGCGAGAATCAGAACGACGGGAGGTTTTTTGGTGTCGCCGATGGTCGCCTTGATGAGAACGTTCCGGTGTAGGGGTTGACGATGAAGATTAATGAAGAACGGCCACATGATGTGAGGCGAAGAGGAAAAAAGAGACGCCCCAAAACTGAAGCTGTAAGACAGCGGCGGTGGTGTGGTCCACGAGACCGGAATGTCATGTGAAAAGGGAAGGGGGAAGTGGACGGGAGAAATTGTAGGGCGTAAAATGGGAAACGTCGAGAAAAGGAGCAGACAGAGACCAATGCTGGGGTGTTGAGTCATACAATAAGAGGAAAAGCGCCAAAGTCTGATGTCTGCTCTGAATGGGTTGGTAGAGAAAGAAGAAGAATCTTGGAGAACTTTGAGAAAACGCAATAATGCGGTGTACTTTAAGCAACGAGTCGGGTCCGGCGCAGAGTGGTCACAGGGTCGTGCACTAAGGTCGGCACTCAGTTGCGGTAGATAGCGGTGGAGTTCCCCTCTCCAACCTTTTCCAAGTTTTTCTTGCCGCGGATGACCTCATCCTCTACCACCAGACATCACCGGTTTCTTCAACTTCATGACACACCCTCGCATGACTCACAACATTGACTACCTCTTTCACTGCTACGCCCAGACAACCCTACTCTCAGCGTTGCTCGAGAACAAAGCGAGCGCCTTCACCGGATCTTTCGCGGCCGGATGCGTCGCGCAGCGCACGCGCGCGCGCGTGCGCGCCCATCACCGTCTATTTTTGCGGTATCTTCTCTCCTTGGTCGAAGCTCTACTTTCCACCTCGTACTTCGGAGCGGGCAATGCCACCTTCAGGCAATGTCAAGGAGCACCAGCTCTGTGCGCTAAGCCGGCTTGGACCTACGCGCCAGATATGTGGACAACAACGTCTTCTTTCTCGGACCTACTCACGCGCTGCGGGCTGACTCTTTCGTTCTTTTTTGGACGCTCTTTGGAGGTGGAACCTTTTGACGATGACAAGTACCCATCAACAGTTCACAGAGTTCGCAGGCTGAGTAATGTAAATGTCGGCTGGCCGGTGCAAATTGAAGACTTTTGAATAAGCATTGATACAAAATGTTGCCAGCAGAATCTTGACAGAGGTTGATACAACTCACTCAATACAGTATTAAT